TCCTGCACACCCCCCACTGGGAATCAAGCCCGCAACCCAGGCATGTGCCCTTGGCCGGAATCGAACCTGGGACCCTTCAGTCCGCAGGCTGACGCTCTATCCACTGAGCCAAGCCGGCCAGGGCCCCAGACTTAATTCTGAGTTATACCTGGAAGAGTAAATATGACAAAGTTTCTACTAAATTGTTGTGAAAAGGATATAAATGGAGATATGTAGGAAATACATATAGGAGACGAATGGAGGGTTGGTTAAATATGTTATGGTACATTTCTTAAAATATATTAAGGTAGTGGAAGAAGGGATAGAAAGATGGATGGAACAGCACAGAAAAGTATTTTATTATACAGATGGCATTTTTAATCAGTAGAGAAAGGTGGATTGTTAAGTCATGTTGGAAGAGCACACTTGGAAGTTAAAGACAAACCCCTACCTCACACCATAAATAAAAATATATGTTTGAGTTAGACTAAACATTTAAATAGGAAATAAAGCCTAATATACCAGAGAAAATTTAGAAAAAAATAATGATAATTTTTAATTATGTGGAGAGGGAGTTATTTTAGTAAACCCAGAAGTCACAAAGGGAAAATTTGACAAATTTGACTACGTGAAACTTTAAATTTATATACAGGCATACCTTGGAGATATGGTAGGTTTGGTTCCAGACCACCTCAGTAAAGTGAATATCACAATACACAGAGTCCCATGAATTTTTTGGTTTCCCAGTGCATATAAAACTTATGTTTACACTATACTGTAGCCTATTAAGTGTGCAATAGCATTGTATCAAAAAACACAATGTATACACTTTACTGCTGAAAAATGCTAACCATCTTCTGTTGGAAAAATGGCGCCGATAGACTTGCTTAATGCAGGGTTGCCACAAACCTTCAGCTTGTAAAAAAAATGCAATATCTTCAAAGTCCAGTAACATGAAGCACATTCAAATGAAGCCTGCCTGTCCAGCATAAGAGCTGGTAAGGAAACAAAAAGGGCGAGAGATATATTGCTTTTTAAAAAGTCTATGGCACATATGACGAAATATTGACATATATAGTTAATGTGTAAAGGGCAACATAAAATAAACAGACAGTGTACATATTGTAAAATACAAATGTTTAACTCAATAGTAAAGAAATAAAAATAGCAGCAACAAGACTGTTATCCTATCAGATCAGAAAATATGAGGAAGAGTAATGCTATGTGGTGCTGATGTGCCGGAAGGAAATGCTCTGGATTGGAGTCTAAATTGATGGATTCTTTTTGGAGATGAGTTTGTCAATATCTATTACAACTTAAAATGCACATCTCCTTTGCCCAGCACAGACTTAAGGAGCTAATAGGATAAGTATGTGAACATAAATATATGGGGCTCTTTTAAAGCGTTGTTTATAATGACATGAAATTGGAAACAATCTATGTGTCTTTCAGTGGATTGGTTCAATAAATTATGGCATGTTTTTCCAATGACGATGCAGTTATCCAAAGAGACCAGGGTGATCTTTATTAATGGCATCAAAGGGTGATGATATTAAGTGAAAAGGGAAGCAGGTCACAAAAGAGTGTGTACAGTCCATATAGATCCCATTTATGTGGGAGAAAAAAGTACACATATTTAACATACACACTAAAATATGGAAAGAGAGTCACTAAAATGTTGGAGATGGTTATTTCTCAGGAGTAAAATTATAAGGAGCTTTTGGTTTTCTTTGTAGCATCTGTAGTTTAAAAAATAATAATTTTTAAAGAAATAATCATGTATAACCAGAAAAAAACTTTCTAGTTATATGTGAAATATATTTAATATATAATGTAATTTTGTATCATAATATATGTTATTGTTACATGTAATATAATAATATATATTTCATATATGTGTGTGTGTGTGTGTGTGTGTGTGTGTATCTCCATTGTAGGGGAAGAAAAAGAATGGTACTATCTGCTATGCATTCTTTATTGTTTTGTAAATATTTATGGATTGCTTACTGTGTACCAAGTATTGTTCAAAGCAGTTTATTCATATTAAATGCATTCAATCCTCCCAGCAACCTATTAGGTAGGTATTATTATCCAGTCCCCATTTTACAGATGAACAGAGAGGTTAAGCGACTTACCCGAGGTCACACAGCTAGTGAATAGCACAGTTGGGACTTGAACCCTCTAGAGCAGTGGTCGGCAAACTGCGGCTCGCGAGCCACATGCGGCTCTTTGGCCCCTTGAGTGTGGCTCTTCCTAAGCCTTAAGGTTATAACAATGTACCTACCTATATAGTTTAAGTTTAAAAATTTTGGCCCTCAAAAGAAATTTCAATCGTTGTACTGTTGATATTTGGCTCTGTTGACTAATGAGTTTGCCGACCACTGCTCTAGAGAGTCTGGCTCCAGAACACATGCTTTTGGCCACTCTATGAGGCAGGCATTATGATCCCCTGATCAGAGACCATGAAATGGAGACTCAGAGAGCTTACCTGTCCAAGGTCACACAGCTCGTCAGGGATGGAGCTGGTACCCAAGCCTGGATGTGCGCATCACAAACCCAAGTTCTAGGCTGCTTCCCAGATCTGAGGCTGTTCCTTTGGAGAAACCAGATCATGGCTGAATCAGCTGCTCTCAGGGGCCTTTTCCAGTCCCTGAGCGCCCCCTACTGGCAGTAGGTCAAACAGCAGGGTCAGGGACCAAGTTGGGGGCGGGGGGAGCAGGAGCATGGGGCCTAAGGGGGGTGCACAGGCCTGAGCCCCTTTCCCCCCTCCAGTTCTCCGTGGACATTGACTCCGAGCTGGTGGAGGAGCTGCCAGCCGATATCGAGCTGTGGCTGGTGCTTGTGGCCGTGGGGGCCGGGCTGCTGCTGCTGGGGCTCATCATCCTCCTGCTGTGGAAGGTTAGGACCCCAGCTGGCCTCCGGGACCGCCTGCCAGCAGACCCTCAGCCACTCTCCCTTCACCCCATCCCTCACTTCCATCGCACCCCCACCCTTCTCCCATGTCCTCCCGCCTTCTCCCCAGCTTTCAGTCTCACCTCACCCACGGGGATGCTCCGACCTGGGTTAATGGGGGGACCTGCAGGCTGGAAAGGGGAATCCAGGAACTCTGGCTTCTGGCCACACCACCCCGCCGGGGCTGGAACCCAGGCCTCCAGGCTCTCCAGTCCTAAGCCCCCATCCATCCATGAGTGCTGCTGGCAAGGACCCCCAGCTCTCCCTGACCGCCCCTCCCACCCCTCCCCTCCGCAGTGCGGCTTCTTCAAGCGAGCCCGCACTCGCGCCCTGTATGAAGCTAAGAGGCAGAAGGCCGAGATGAAGAGCCAGCCGTCAGAGACAGAGAGGCTGACCGAAGACTACTGAGGGGGCAGCCCCCGCCCCCACCCCACCCGGGTAACTTGGCCTCCGGGCCCTCTTCCCTGAGCCCCCCGGCTGGCTGGGGCCTCTGACTCTGTCCTCTCTGCTCCTCTTCCTTCATGGGGCCTCTCTGTACCTCACTCTGTCCTCAGCGCCCCAAAGAGCAGGCCACTCTGTCGGCCTCCCTGCCACGCCCCGGGAGAGCTCGTGGTGTCTTCCCTCACCAGCCTCCCCACTGAGCCCGTCGAGGACTTGGGACCCCAGAGTTAGCCATAAAACCCTCCCATGCTTTCTAGGGATTGGAAAAGGGTCAAGACCAAGGCGAGGCCTCATCTCTGTAGCTCACAAGGCAAATTTCCAGATGCTTCTACACCCCCATTTCCACCTCCAGAGAAGGAGGGGGCTCATAGAGTCCTTCCTCCTGGGAACCAGCACTGTCCCTCCTGGGAACCCCCACCAGAGTGACCCCTGACCCCTCCCCACACTGTGGTCAGGATAGATCCCCACCCTTCCTAGCCCTCCCATCAGCAACCTCGGCGGCCGCCCCTACCTCCATCTGCCTCTCCCTCTCCTCTCGGCCTTCCTCCGCTCCTCCTTCCTCTGGGCACGGTGGGGAACCTCGTCCTCCCGGTCTCGGTCTCGGTGCAGAGAATTGGTGTGTGTTTGGTTTCGATCGGGGGTCCTGGCTTTGAGGACCTCTGGGGGGGGGAGGAAAGGGCTGGGCACATCTTCCCACAGGTCGCTGATGTCCTTCCTCTCCTCCCCCCAACTCCAGTGTGACTTCTTTAAGCGGACCCGCTATTACCAGATCATGCCCAAGTACCACGCCGTGCGGATCCCGGAGGAGGAACGCTACCCACCTCCAGGGGGCACCCTGCCCACCAAGAAGCACTGGGTGACCAGCTGGCAGACATGGGATCGATACTACTGACGCCCTCCCTGATCCCGCCCCTGCGCCCCTGGTGTCCCCTTCTTCTCTTTGTCATAAGTTAAGTTATGCCCCGACGGTCTGCAGGGGCCACGGCCTTTGGCTGGCACCAGTGGGTTCGGGCACACACACCTCCTTGAGCGCATGCATATGCCATCTGACCACGGGCTTCTCCACGCAGGAGGGCTGGGGCCGTGGGCTTTGCTACACCGAGCACACTGCAGCCCCGTGCCCTGGACACACGTGGGTCCCACTGCTTGTGGACTGTGCTTGTGCACCACAGAGGGTGCGTGGACATGCGTGTGCCGGCCTTTGCTGATGCCAAAACCAAGCCCGAGGGCCTCTGCCAGAGCCGGGAAGGAAAGGCCCCGAAGTGGTGACCCCTCCCTACTTACACTGGACCCATCTTGAGCCATAGTCACTGGGTGGACTTCGCTCCTGAGACGAAAACTACTGACAGGGAACAGCCCGCAGCCTCCAAGCTGTAGTTCCTGACACCGTGAGAGAGAACGCGGGTGGGGTGGATCTGCCCGAGGCTGTCCAAGGGGGTGTTTACAGGACTTGGCATGCTCAGACGTGAGAGCAGAATGAACTAGAAGTAAGGTCACAGGATGGCTTTCTTTCACGGACCACTGCGAAGCCTCTGTCCTCAGCCGCGGCGTGCACTTGTGGGGAATGCAGCCTGAAGGAGCAAGGATGGACAAGCTGCTAGGCAGCCTGGACACGCTGCGCTGGGACCGCCCTGGGAGCACAGAGGAATCCTCAACCACAGACTGGCTGGTCCCGGGCCAAGGAGATGCTGGAAGGATACAGAGGAAATGCCACTCCTCACCCACCACTACCGTCCTGGCGCCTGCAGGGCCTGGAGAGACCCCCACGAGATCGAAGAGGGAGCGACACTTGAATGTAGGACAGGGAGGGAGCCCTGTCCCTGACCCATCGGCCACACCTCACTCCGTCCCCACCCACCATGGGCTGGGGGCCTCGAAGTGGAGTTCTTGGCTGGCCTTGGCTTTCATCGTCAACCAGCTCTGCCTTCTTCCCTATGGGCTGAGTCCTGAGGCCCATTCTGGAAGTCGAGGCTGGTTCCGGAAACCCCCTCCTGCCCCCTGCCTGTCGGCAGGCCCCCCGCCCCTTCCACGGTACTGTAGCAGGGGAGCTCCCTCCCCCTCCTTGTGCCTTCTTTGTACATAGGCTTCTCACACCAACCAATAAACAGCTCCCTGTTTGTACACACTGCAGCTGCCTCCACCCCTCACCCCTCCTCCTCCTCCGTTCTGATGGACCATGACGTCTGGCTGCCCCCCAGGTGGACAAAGCGCAATGCAGGGGTCTTAAGGCCGGGAGGGTGAAGGCCGATGGAGGAGATACCGCCCCAGCTCTCAGGGATGCTCTAGTCTAAGGGCTGGTCATAGACAGGGAACTGAAATGCAGAACGTAAGAGGAGCGGGAAGGCTTGAGTAGAGTGGATGGAGTAAAAAATGGCTTTTTGGTGGCCAGTGAGCTGGTTCTGGGGAGGGAGCAGGAGGGAGGGTGATATGCAGGGTCTGGAAGTGACAGGAAGCTATGTGCTGTAGAAACAGGTAGTCCTAGGTAACAGTGGCAGGAGCCTGGGTGCAAGGGTGGGGAGCTGAGAGCCCCCCTACCCTCGTGGCTTAATTCAGGTGAGGACCAGCTTTTCTGCCTCAATTTCCCTCCCACCACCTGCACGTGTCATGATGAGTAGGTAATCAGGAGGTGAACCAGTGACCCAAGGCCTCCAGGCAGGGTTCTGGGAGCCCTCGTCGCATGGACACTCCCCCCGGAGTGCTTCAGTCCTGAGCTGACATTGCCCCCCTCCCCAGCATTGGATCAAGCCCTCCGCTTCCTCCTCTGCCCTAGGTTGTTCCCTCCACACAGGCCTCAGGAATGAAGGAAGGCTCTTTTCCCCTTGACTTCCTCCTAAATGATGGCACAGGTCCTTCTAGTCACTTTCCCCAAGGCTGTGGCCTTTGGTGAGACTTCACCGATTTTATTACCCGGAGAAGTCTAGACACAGGTTCTCTGAGAGCCCACAGACCAGGCCGTTCTCCGGGGAGCTGCTCCTGGGTACCTCCCAGCCCGCCTCAATGCGGCAGCTGCCTGCCCCCCCTCCACTCCGTAAGAGCCCACCTCACAGAGTCGTGGGCCCAGCACCCCACTCCCCTTTCTGTGCTGGGATTTGCTGGTTCCCAGGTCGATTGGCAGTGGGCTGTCCAGTTCCTCTAGGAAAAGAAACCTCAACCCCTACCCAGAGCTCTCAAAACCAGTCATCGGAGGCCTCAGTTTATTTTCCAGAATCTGTTATTCTCTAGGTCAGCAATAACATGTAGGTTATCAAAGTCCAGCTCAGTCCAGACCTTTGCAGCCACCTCCTGCTTAAGAAAAAGGTGGAAATCGCCTGGCCGGTGTGGCTCAGTGGTTGGTATTGACCTATGAGCCAGGAGATCATGGTTCGATTCCCGGTCAGAGCACATGCCAGGGTTGCAGGCTCAATCCCCAGTGGGGGGCGTGCAGGAGGCAGCTGATTAATGATTCTATCTCATCATTGACGTTTCTATCTTTCTCTCCCTCTCCCTTCCTCTCTGAAATCAATAAAAAATATATTTTAAAAAAGAAAAGAAAAAGGTGGCATCTATATGCATCCTTCCAGCCAGCTTCAGAGGCCCAGCCCCCAGGCTCCTGTGAGCAGCTGCTTAGATGAGACACACACGAGAATAAGTCATTTTCAGGACTGGTGCAGCTACACTTTTATGAAAGAAACATAATGGCAGAGACACAACAATGCCCACTTTCATAAAAGGACCCTCTATACCACCACGCTTCCTGAGCTCCTTGGGGCTGCAGTACCTCCCAACCATTACAGAAGAGGGCCTTGGCTCTCATATCCAGGCAGAAGAGACAGCATGTGCAACAGCTTGGAGATTGGAGGCTGACTCAAGGCAGGAGAGAAGTATGGTTTGGAGTTGAGCAGTGGAATATGGAGAAATGAGGCTAGACAGTTAAGCCAAAGCAGATCATGTGAGAACTTGAAAGGCTTCAGTAAAAAGTGGAGAGTCAAAAAAAAAAGGAGAGTATTTGAAAGGCTGTAAGCAAGAGAAGTAACAAGTTCAGATTTTCTGTAAATAAGCCTCAGTTTCCTCATCTATAAAATGAAGCTATTAATAGCATCACAGAACTGGTGAAGAATTAAATGATAAAATGCATACAAACAGTGCCTGGCACATAGGTTATTATTCATCAGCTAAGAGTCCCTTCCATGTGAGGCCTTGCCCATAGCTCTGTGTTGGCTATAACCTCATTCTGTTACGTCTATTCATTTAGTTATTTACTCATGCAGCTAGCTCCCAAACTGAGAAAAGATGTGCCTTAATCCTGTCTGTGTTTACTGTTCCCAGCACAAAGCCTAGCACATATTAAGCACTTGGCAAGTGTAGGCCCAGGACTGAACAGTGAAAAGGCAAAACCACCAAAAAGGCCAGTCGGTGGATAGGACATACCACGTCCAACCGCGAGAGGGCGCGCTACGCTCCTCCCAGAAAGCTGGGGCTGCTGGAGAAAGGGGGCTCCCTGGCCCCCCCAACACAAATCACCTTCTTGGACGTTTCTTCAGAGAAGCCCAGGGCGGAGAACGTTGCCTTCTCAGGTCAAAAGAGCTGGAGGAGAATAAAAAGTGTTTTGAACTCTGCACTCGTAGCGCTGATGGTAGGGGCTGCCTCCGCCTCCGCTGGTGGCTGGTCTTTGTGGCGTGGGCGGGCTGCGCGACTGTATGAGCGATTCCGGGGGGCTGCATCCTCCCCGCGAAGTGTGTAAACATTCACAGTCCCTGTCCCCGGGCTGGGACCCCACTGCGGGCGAGCAGGTGGGGGTCAGGGTGACACAGGGCCTCTGGGAGCACAGGGACTCGTTGAAAGCCACCCGGGCCGTATCAGGGAAGACAGGACTGGAGGTTCGCGGAGGGAGCGGGAAGGGAAGAGGCGACGAAGGAGGAGGAGATCACGGGCCTCTGGGACCGCGGGGTTAACCGGCTGCCGGGCCGGGGACCCCGCGGAGGAAGCTGAGGGGGCGGGCTCTCCGCGCGGCCTGAAGAAAACAACAGGCCGTTCCCAGCCAATCCGGGTGAGGGGGCGGGCCCGGGAGGAAAGCCACGTGCCGGAGCGGGACGCGATTGGCTGTCCCGGAGTTGTTTGTGAGTGGCCATTGGCGGCGACGGGGAGCCGCCTCCAGCCGATTGGCCGGGTTTTGGAGGACGGCCAGGGCCCTCCCAGCCAAGGGTGAGGGGGCGGGCCCGGGAGGAAAGCCACGTGCCGGAGCGGGACGCGATTGGCTGTCCCGGAGTTGTTTGTGAGTGGTGGC